TATAGTAATTTTTTATATAAAATATACTTATATAGCAAGTTTATAAAATTGATAATTAATATATTTTTAAATAATATTAATATAAAATATATGTTAAGAGGTTTATTTTATATATATAAAATTTTTAAATTTTAAAAAAATTTTATAATTACTAACTTTTTTATATTTAAATATTATTAATTTTTTATATAGTAAATTAATTTAAATAGGTAATTTTTTTTTTATTATAATTTTTTTTTATATAATAATCATAGTTGAAATTTTGCAGGTTTATACATAAAGATTATACTAAGATAATTGTATAGTAATACAAAAAAATACTTAATTATGATTAGTTAATTTAGAAAATATCAAAAAATTTTAATTTTTTAAATTTTTTTTAAAAAATTGACCAACTTTGAGATTTTTTAAATAATATATAATTAAAAATTAATTTAATTTTTTTTATAAATATATTCTATATATCTTTAAATATTAAATATATTTATTTAATCATAAGTTAATATGTAAAATATTGTATATATTTTAATTCAAATGTATCAAGTTAGTGTATTATGCTTAATGAGATGACCAATATGTTTTTTTAAAATTTTCTAAGTAGTTTGAATCAAAAAAAATTCAAAAGATTAATAGAAAAAAATAAAGAAGATGTTAAAAAGATAAGTGCTAGAATTTAGATAAATTTACAAAAACAGAAATAATATAATATAACAGTTTAAGGTTAAACCTAACTATAAGTATTAAATAACTATAATAGGTTGCATAAAAATAGATCAACTGTATGTGAAATATAAAAAGCTCTAGTAATGATGTCTTTAAGAATACACTGTATAAAATAAGATATAGTGTTTTAAGAATATGAATAAGTATCTAAACTTTTTTAACTGATATATGTATTAGAAATAATCTAATGATACAATAAAAATTGCAGTACAGAAGGTTTAAATAGACAATGCTTATAGTTGAATTGCTAGTATAAACTATTAATGAATTACTTAAATTAGATACTAAAAGTGTATGTGTGACTAGTTGTACTCTTTAATATAAAGGTAACTTTATTAAAACTTCAACCTTGAGTCTCTATATCCTAATCTACTAAATAAAAAGCTTCAAACTCAAAAAGATTAGTTTAATAAAAAAAAATAATAATTGTAACAATTCAATAGTTATAAGATGCAAATTTTATTTTTTTATTATTTTGTTTGTTTATTATTTTTTTATTTTATTTTTTGTTTTGTATCTTTTTTTATTTATTTTTATATTTTTGTATTTTTTTTTTATATAAGTTTTTTTATTTTTTTATTTCTATATAAAAAGATGTTATTAGTTTGATGATATCCTATTATAGAATGGTCTCAGATATAACCTCCAAGTTACTCTTGTTTTTAGTCTGATGCAGGCAAATTATTTATAAAATTAATAATATCTACAAGATGTTAACTTGAAACTTAAATCAAAAATGTTTTGTATAAAGCATAAATAATATTAGCAAGACTGCTCGAATGAAAAAATAATAATCTTATAAACAAAAGAGAACCTAATTTTTTGTAAATGTATCATTAAAAAGAATAATAAAGAAAAAAATTAAGCACTAATCATATATGTTACCTTTTGAAAAATTGTCACGTAAATGCTAAGGATTAACGTACCAATTCATATGACTTGCACGTACCCTGACTTTAGAATAAGCATATCAGCACATGACAGGTTTTAGATTTATAATAGATACGTGTCCAGGTTCGCCAAAATTATCCAATTGTTAATCATGATTTGGTGTAACGTAACACGATCAGGAAAGTTCAAAACAAACGTTCGTTCGCTTATTTCTCAAAAATTTACATAAGAAATCACCGCATGCGCATTACCAAAAAGTTTTCCTTGAACAATTTTGCTTCAGAACTCCTAACATCCTTTCAAACATAGACCCTAACCCTAACCTAAATGAACTTAAAGAATTTTCGCCGATGTCACGTGCCTACGAAGTTTTGTTGGCGATCCTGGGTAAGATGGATTAACCGCTTAAACTGCACTGATGTAAAAGTATATCAGAGTAAATTTTTCAAGCAAATCTTTCAAGCAAATCTGTCTAAAATAGTCTAACCATTAAGGAATAATCTAACTTTTATTATGATTTGCAATACCAAATTATAAAAAATTAAACTACATAGTATTGAATAAACATTTTTTTGCGAAACACTAATTGATAATAGATTGGCGCTTCAAGAATTCATTGTTAAATGTTTAGTCACTAAAAAAAAATCTACAAAATTATGAATTTATCTTCGGATAAAACCGTTATTGGTACTTGCCACCAATGGCCATAATGTCTGGTCATTTCTGGTTAAATAATTTAATTTCAAAGTCCCTATTGGGACTTAGAGCACAATTAATTAAATTATGTAACCTGTTATACTTCTGTATTCGTATTCGATACCGGAAATTAGCAATGTGACTATTAATGGCCCAATAAGTTTCTTAAAGTCAATAGCAGCAGTAATGCTTAAATAACATTGAAATTATTTTATTTATTGTTGCACGACATCTAAATAGACAAATTTCGATTAACGTTAAACGATTTTTTTTCTGCATTCAAATATAGAAGCTATTGGAACAATCGGTATATCAATATTGAAACAATCGATCAAACATTTTTATCACGATATGACTTTAAAGAAAACATTCGAAAACATTCTTACAATTTATTTACATATCCAGATCATCTCGGTTCGCTTTTATTATCTCGGTTATAACTTGATTAAAGAACAACCATGGATTAAAGGGTAACTAAATTATTAAGTTTATATTTATATTTGCGGATACCGGAAAATCCATTTATAGTACACAGTAATGGAATTCCATTTGTTTTTTTATGTCTGATTATTTTTCTTGTTTGGAGGTACCATTTTATTTCTCTGGTGAAAAGTTGAGAAATTTTATGTAATGAAATATATAATTGCATGTGACTTTATATAACGATGTTCAAATGCGATTTTCGTACAACAATAATTATAACAAAAAATATGTGATTTGTTAATTTTATAATTTTTGGCGCATTTGAACTTGTCCAATTTTCTTTTCTCATTGTTGCCAAATCAAATATTATCTCGGTTGGAATTTGCAAAGTCAAAACTTACATTGAAATATACATTCATTTAAATTCGAGTTCTTAACTTTTAAGCTTCAAATTTACTTAAAGTTATGACAAGCATTTCACAGAATTTTGGCGCTGCAGAACATCAGCAAAACATATTTGCGAATAGTTTTTGGGTGGGTCTAAAAAAAAACAAAAAAAAATTTTTTTGATTTTATCGTCCAGATTGTTAAACATATATTTAATTTTAGGGTAAAGATGATGCTGGTTTTGATGTACTTAACACACGTCTAAAACAAACAAAGCAAACATGTGAAGAAATCAAGAATTTGTTTCATGAAAGGTTGTGTTAAGAAATGTGATCTTATTATTTAACTAGAATGCATACATCTTCTAACGAATTTTCAACTATAGAGCATTAATTGAAGAAGAATATGCTAAACGATTATCAAAATTATCTAAAATTCCATTTGGAAAAGATGAAATTGGGTAATGAATTTTTTCACCCTAAATTTCATTGTTCAATGCATATTATTTCTAATATTATCCTTGTTTAAACAAAAAGGACATTGCATGATGCTTTAGAAACAGTTCGACAAGAATTGGAGACGACAGCTAAAGAACATATTGGTCTTTCTCAGAAAATAAGAGCTGAACTTGAACAAGAATTGACGAATTTTATCACAAAACAAAAAGAAAAGAGGAAACTGGTGTGATTATTTTTATCCTTAATTTTTTTAATTAAAATGTTTGCGAAAGTAAGATTATTTGTAATTTTAAATATACATAACAGCAACAAAGTGTTGTAGAAGGAAGTCTGAGAAATAAGCAAACACAAATTTCTTTTGTCCAAAAGGTTTTTATTTTATTTTACCAAACATATTTGATGTTATATATGATTATTATTGATTATTTATTTATAGGCAAAAGAAAAGTATGAATCAGAGTGTTTAAAACTACCAGAATTATTTGAATCTAAGAAAACAGTTACAGGAAAAGATTTAGAAAAGGTAGCTTAAATTATAGCATAAATATTTAATATAATAGCTAATTTTTGCACCTTATATATATATTATGTTAGTTAAATTCTAAAATTGAAAAAACTCAGTTGGCGACAAAGGCTGCTGGTAAATATTTCTTGTAGACATATTTTGTATGATATTCGATTGACTGTTAATTCTTAACTTTATACAGATCAAGAATACATTCAAATGGTTAAAATTGCTGCTGATGCAACCCAGAAGTGGAATGACGATTGGAGGTTAGCATGTGAAGTAAGTATATTTGCATTCTTATGGTGTTTCAAGTTTGACGTATTCATAAATCAATCAATGTTTTTGTTTCTAAAATATCCCTATAGAAATTCCAACATTTGGAGGAGGATCGAATTGAATTTTTGAAACAAGGGTTATGGAATTACGCGAATCTCATATCATCTATTTGTGTAGCTGACGATGAGGTTTGTTAGTTTAAAGTTATCTCTTATTTACTTTGTGTTTATTGAATGTTCTTAATGTTTATTGTTTATTTAAAGTCTTGTGAGCGAATTAGAGTAAGTTTGGAAAATTGTAATGTAGATAAAGATATTCAAACTTTCGTTAAAGAGTACGCCACGGGATCGGAAATACCAGGTATTCAGACATGCAATATCATGTTTCTTATTTTAATGTTATGATTTTAGATATTTATATTTTTATCTTATAAATCAGAACCGCCGAGTTACGTGAATTTTTATTCCGGTTCAGGTGAAAATGGGACTCGTTATCGAAGAGCATCTTACGTATCACCTCCAAGCACTGACAAACCTATCGGAAATCCTCAAAGCACGCAAAATGCTAATTATAACCTGAGATCAACAACTACTTCAAGTCAATCTTCGCAAGGAACTGGTATGAATTATAAAAGCTTATACAACTATCTTCCATTTGAAAGAAGCGACAGGGCTTCTATGTACGCCAATACTTCATCTGCATCACCACGCGGTACAATTAAAGATTCCGCACTTCCACAAACTCCCATCGAGGAAGTAGAAGAACCTGATCCTATCGATCCAGGACAACAAACAATCCTTGCGGTTGGTAGTAATATGTTCGAAGTACAAGCCACTAATGAAAATTTAAGTGATAACATTCCAACTGAACGATCTATTGAAAAGGCTTTTGATGATATGCAATATAAGGAAAAAGTGGATAAAAAGGGAAAGGAGAATGAGAAAAGGGAATATGAGGAGGAAAAGGAAAATATGGAAAAAGAAGAAACGAAAACAAGTAGAAATAATTCTACTTCGATTATAGAAAATGACATCAAATCGAGTTCTTCATCTCCAATACTAAAAACGTCTGAATCTGTTAAAGATGAGTCATTTATATCCCCAACTACAGTTTCTCAACTAAATAATCAAAAAACTGAATATGGTTCGATGGAAAAGTCTCAGTCTCCTATACCCTATGATCAACCTAGTGACTCGAGTTCGATACCTCTGCAAGTCACTCCTGAGACCAGCTCATCACCTATTATAAATACTCAGCATCAAGAAATTCAAGAAATTCAAACACACAGACAAAACTCTCTACGAACACTTGAGGGTATTTCTTCACAAAATTTTCAAAAACCATCAGTTTCTGGTCCAGGAGATTTACGACGTCAATCATCAAATCCTGTTATTGGATCAGATTCATCACAACCAAATATACAAGGTCCAGGTGATGTACGCAAGCATCCTATAACACAATCACCACGGCATCAACATCTTGCTCAACAATCCAATTATCAACGTAATGAATCTCCTATTGATGATTTGGCAAGATCAAATACGATACGAACCGCATCTAGTTCTGGCAGCAATAATTCTATTGGGATTCAACTCGATGCACGTGGACGTGTTAAACAAGATGATATGGCTGAAGCATATTATGATCGACAGAATCAGTATTATCAACAACAACCAATTCGTCCAAATGGATCAACGTATAGTACTATACCATCAAATTCAATTCCATATGGACAGGGCTATAATCAATCAACGATGAACAATTCTCAGGATCCTAGAGTATCATCTCCTGGATCGTCAATTAATGTAGTAAGAAGTAACACATTTAACGCTAGACCAAGGACACAATATTCCCAATCAATGTATTCGAACCCTGGATTTTATAATGTCCCTTATGATCCAAGACGACCACCACCACAACAAGCATTTAATGTGCATGGATTTCAGCGACCTAATGGACGAAGTATTCAACGTATGGACGATGGTAGACATGTTTTATTTTTAGGTATTTAATTTGTTATCTTTTAAAAAATATAAGAACAGGTTTTTTTTTCAACACCATGTGTTGTAATTCATCGCTCAATTATTGTAATTAAGAGAATGAAGAGAGGCTAGTTACAATGCATTGGATGTTACAATAAAACTTTTTATTAATTTTCATTTACTTTATAAATAGTGAAGGCATTATATGATTACAAAACCACTTCAAGTGAAGAAATACCATTTCTAGCAAATGATGTGATCGCAGTGTTGGGTACAAATCCTGATGGATGGTGGGAAGGCGAATTACTTGATGAGAGTAGAAAGAAGAGAGGATTGTTTCCTAGTAACTACACTCAAGTTTTGGAATGACCAAACATTTTGTGTTTATATTATTTTATTTATTAATATGGGCTGGTATTTTTATAATAATGTATTAATATAGTCATTTATATAGTAGAAATATTTTAAGCATTGTTATTAAAAAGATTGCAAATGTTTATTTGTTTGTTTTTTACTGCAATCTAACTAAACTCTATTCACTCATTAAAGTTTTCACAATATTTAAATAAAAAAAAACGACAACGCACACCTAGGGTAAAAGTACAGTATGCATTGTAGTGATTCGAATAGGCAAATTCTCTATCGATTAGTTAAACCAACTGAATGATCTGCTGTTGAATTAAGGTCAATTTCTGCATGTGGTTAAGGAATGTTTTCCTCTGATAATTAAGTTAATTTTTGTATAATTCTGTGATAGTTTAGTATGAATGTTGCGTTTAATGTGCTTAGAAATAAAAAAGTTGTTTGTTTTCATAATAGTGATATGATTAGTTCAGGGTTCACCAATAGAATATTTTGATTCACAAATATGTAGAACAATAAAAATTCTTTGTTTCAAATAATTATTAAATAGAAACTGATAATTTTGCTTTTCTTTTTTGATATTACATCTTTTGTACTGTAATTTAATTTTTTTCAATTTTTTAACTTATATCAAAATTATCTACACAATTATTTTAATAACTTCACTTAAGAAATTAGATTCTTAATCAGACTGTAAAATTATTGTAACATCACGTTTACAAATAATACGTATTCTTATAAAATAAAGTTAGTTACAGTAGCTGTTTTAGTATCAATCATTGTTTTAGTTTTAACAAGATATGATTTATTTGCTAAAAAAAATGAAAAGTTCTTAACTGTAATGGTCAATATGGCTTAGAACATTTTTTATAAAAATATATAGAAAAGAAGATATGAGGATTTGTTCTTTTTTTTAAAAAAAAAAAGTAAGGCCTGGCCTTTATTCTTTTATTATCATTATATAAAAGTTTTACAAAAAAAGTAATTTAATACAATGTTATAGGAAACTAAAGACTAAAGTTAATTTACTTTTGACCTAGACTTTGCTAAGAAGGTCCAGGGTCTCCTAGTCAATGTATATAATGTTTGTGGTTAATATATTATGTTGGATAAAGTTTAGAAGTTATTTGTTATATTTATTTTGTACAGCATTAGTAGTGAAATAGGTTTTGTATTTGAGTAGTCAGTATGTTGATTGTTGTAATGATAGCATATATTTTTTATTTTTTGTTTTTTATGTTAACATTCCTATTTTCAGGATGCAATTGTTTTATTTAAGTTTATAGTACATGGGTGCCATCAGAGGTTCTTTTACATAGAAGGTTACAACTAGTCACACATGTGCTTTTAATGTCTAATTTAAGTAGTCTGCTTATATATTGTTATAAGTTCTATACTAGATGTTATACCTGCAAGCTAGCTAGGAGTCTTGTCTATTTAAACTTTCTGCATATGCAATTCATCTTGTATTACAGGAATATCTCAAGGTTATACTCATCTAAGTTTCTGATGCTATGTTTATTGGTACTTTAGGATTACTTTATCTTTAACAAAAAACTTACTAGAGCTTTTATGTCTTATACATACTAACCTAGTTTTATGCAACACATTATAGTTACCTAACATTTGTAGTTACAGAGGTTATCTGTTTAACTACATTATATTATTTTTACTCTTGTAAAGTTTACCCAAATTCTGATACCTATCTTTCTAACTTTTTCTTTTTATCTCTCTATTATTTAACTCAGAATCTAACAGACTCTCTAAATTTTCAATTTAGATGATCTGATATAATATATCTTTGGTATTTTTTTCTTACAATAGTTCAAGTAGCCTAGTTGATTATATGCTCTTTTATATATCTTATTATTTAGTTGCATATCTGCTTATTTTTTATTAATATTTTATAGACTTTCATTAGTCTGACAGCATTATCAAAGATTTGTATTACCTCTTTACTTAGAAATTTTAAGTAAGATTTTATTTTCTTAGTTTTTTAGTCTTCTGCACCTAATGGTCTTATTATAGGTTTGCACTAAAGCCTTATATAACATTGGTTTTTTATATTTATTTATGTATATATAATGTTATACTTTATATAGATGCTCTGAGCTCTTAAAATTAGGTGGTCCTGACCTGGTATATTTAAAATTACAGATACATAAATTCAATTGATTGACAAGAGACAGTTACTGTAATACAAATATAATTTCTAAAATTCATCATCTGTAAAAATTGAACCTTAAACCTGTTACTTGGAGATTGATAACCTATTCATTTCACTAAATTGATACATCTTAAATTATATTTTAATTCATATTACTGCTTTTAAAAATAACATTTATAATAATCTTGTTTTCATTAATAATTTTAACAATCTGTATCTTATAATAAGGCTTATTTAAATTATATCTTAAAGATGAATTTGCTTTTCTGATATTTAAATTTTTTTTTTTTAAAAAAAAAAAATTTTTGAAATAAACTAAGTTTATTTTGATTATAACCATTATTATTTTTTTAATAAAAATAAGACTCAAGAAAGTTGTTTACAACTAATTTTATAACAGATCTATAAAATAATAATAATAAATTATTAATTTAATTTGCAACTTATTAATTTAAAATTTCTTATTTTTGAATATAATATTCAATTAAATTATATTTATAAAATTTTAAATATAAAATTACTTTATTGATCATTCAGACACAAAAACAACTAAAGAAAAAAGAAAATTTTAGCAAAATTATCAATAAAAAACACCTCAAATAGCTTTAAACAGAAAGAAGCAGCAATAAAAAAAAACATTAGACTAACAGAGGAAAAGTTTATCTGTAAAATAATAGCAGAGTTACTAAAAAAACAGCAGAAAACTTACCAAAAAATAACAGTACTAAGGAATTGGTATTAGATCCTATAACATAGATCTGTTTACATTACGCAAAAGACACGTAATAGCAAAACAACAACAAACATGTGCAGATCACCAAATTAGAATAGACATTGCAAATCATATATCAATACACGTAGAATATGATATATAGATAAGCAAACTAATAAAAGAAACTTAACAACTAATCAGAAGACTATAGATATAAATAGAACATAGAATTAATGAGCATGGAGAAAGTTTCTCAACAATATTCATGAAAAAAGGATACTAGACAATAAATAGAATACATAATAAAATATTCTTCAACCAGTCAAGTAACATATATGTAACACCAAACAGAGAAGATAAAATTGTAGTCATGCTTATAGAGCAAAGCTCAGCAAAAGTTGCACTACTAAGAAAAACTAGAGAATTGATTGAAAAAGCAGAAAAAGAACAATCAGAAAAGAAGCTTAACTTTACAGAAGCAGACAAGAATAGAATGCTAATTGAATATGAAAGAATTCAAGAAAAAAATAAAGAAATAGTGTAACAAGAAATAGTCATGAAAGAAATAAAGCAAGAAGACAAACAAGAGATAAAAAGAAAAATTGAAAAAATAATAGAAAAAGATAATACAAGCAAAAGAAGATTACAGGAAGAAGACTCTATCATAAAAGAAAAAGAAAAAATAAAGGTAAGTAATGAAAATATAGACTGATCAAAAGAAAAACTACTGATGCAAGAAAAAGAATCAAGGAAAAAGCAAACAAAAGAAATAGAACAAAAGGATATAGAAATGGATATTAAAGAATCGAGACAAGGTTTAACATCAGAAGAAAAAGAATGACAAAAAAGAAAAAAGCAGACAGTAAAAAAAAAAATAGATATAGCAAAAATTCTATTAGAAGAAAGCATATAGGCACCAAGTAGAAGAAGTTGTAACAAAAACAACAATCTACTTACTAATATACCAGCACACAATATGCCTGAAGAAACAGAAAAAGAACATGTAAAGTTTATCAAATGATTACTAAAAGACAATGAACACATTAAAAACATTAAAGAAATCTTTAAACAAGAAAATCTGTGAATTGAGGTAAACTTTGACTACAAGTATGATAGAAATAAGGCAATACAAAGGATAAGTAAAAAAGAAAGTGATTGGTACAGAATGATACCAAAAGAGGACAAAGAAAGAAGAAGAACAGAACAAAAGAAGTATAACAATAAATACCAAAATAGAAAATGTAGTATAACAGAATATAAAGAAAAGAGTTATAAAGAAGAAGAAATTTATAAAGAAGAAGAACATACAAGTACTAAGAAAGAAGAAGTAAAGGATATAAAACATATAACAATCTGGGACCTGCCAGCAGATATAAATAAGAAGGAGCTCAAATACATTTGCAGAAGATTTAAAAGTATGCAAATAATGGAAATTAAAAGGTCCAAATACAAGGCTCTTGCAATAATACAAATAGAAGAATCAGAAGAAAGAAATACCCCTTGGTCTATATCAGTTAACAACCATAAACTGATAAGAGTAACAGAAGGAAAAGAAGATCACAAAGCAAGACAAAAGCAAAGGCAATATACAGCAAAATTGACAGAGCTGTCAAGCAGTACTTCAGAAGTTTTACTATTACAGTGCTTGAGGAATAAAGATGCAAAATCAGTATACATTCTACTGAATAGAAATAGAAACCAAAAAAGAACTGCAATAATTTTATTTGCAACAGAGAAAGAAAAAGAAACAGCACAATCAAGACCAATCATATATAATAACTTTCATGTATTCTAGTCAAATAAAAGAAAAAAAAAAGTTAAAAGAAAAAAAGTTTCTCAGGAAAGAAGAGAAAGAAACTGAGACAAAATGATCCAAAATCTAAGCAGAAGGTTCACAAAAATAAGAAGAGAAGATCTAGAAAATAGAAATACAAATAAAAGAAAAGGAAAAAGTAGAAACAAAAATAAACAAGAGATGCATAGAAATAGGAAACAATCCCCAAATACAAGATATAGTAGAATAGTTGGGTGATAGAAATAGTAATACAGAGAAAGAAGATCTATAAGCACAAAACCAGAACCTTCTAGAAAAAATCCTTGAGAGACTAAAGAGAATTGAGGCACAAC